TCGGAAGAGGAAGGGAAGAAACCGATCAATAGCGACAAAAGAGAAGATTGGATAAGAAGGAGGAGAAGAAATTTGGTTTCTGTCTGAGTTTAGGTTCCTCCTTTGTTCGACCTTGTGGGCACCAAGTGAAATAAACGCCTTCAAAAAGCCACTTTTTTTAATGTTAGCTTTCAGTACTTTTTCTTGATGGGTTCATCAGAAAAAGGGGGAAAAAAACTTTTTCCCTTGATGGGTCATTGCTCATGAATCAGAGGAACAAAGACTCATGGCCTTCACCCAATTAGCCAAATTGCCCAAAACACATAACAAAGACCAAGGAGATTTGACATTTGCTGTAATGGAGTTTTGAAAGAAAAAAAACAAGAAAAAACTCATCTTTCTGGTGGAAACATGGGGTTTTTTAGCGTTTAAATTCTTTTTTTTTTCTTCCAATTTCATATAATAAGAAGTAATCATTGATCCATGGTGAAGAAGTTGTTAACAAGGAATGATAATGCCTGTCTTGTCCTTACATCTTCCATGAACGTGCAATGATGTAACATTGTTAAAGTAAAGCTCAGCTTTAGCTTGCAACAGGAACTGGTCATAAGACTTATGCTTCCATCCCAAATTCAATGAATATTTTCGCTGAATTATATTGGTGACTGATTGGTTTCTTTGGATTTCTATGGTACCATAAAACTAATGTTTGATTTTCAAATTAATTTATATAAAATTAGTATTAAATCTATCTGTAATCTAAACTGATATCTTTTGTTTTTCTCATCATCATAATCAATGCTTTTTTCCCCCTAAATCAGTGCCTCGTTGCAGCAAGGATATTGGTTTGTAATGAACATTGGATCCAAAATGAAAAAGAACATTGCATCAAACTAGAAACAAGAATAGGATTTTGGTCTTGTTTTGATTGAAGAAGCAGAACATACAAATATATATGGCACATCCCAAAGAACAAGCTCCTTGGGGAAATTGGATCATAACCGGTCCAAGAATGACTGATGTAGCAGGTTTGGCACTTCTTAAAAGCTGATTTGATTTTCATGAAACAGTTTTGATCAAGGAAATGACAATATATTATACAGGGCAATGAATAACCGTCGATTTCGCTTAACTGTCAGCCACGGATGATGTGAATCCGATGTCGAAAGAGAACTTGATGCATGTTAGCTCCTTCTTGTGTGCATCAAGCATCTTCATCTTAAGTGAGTATGAGCCCTGCAAGAAGAAAATATAAACAGTTCTGTCATTTTCCGGTTTCTGGACAGCGAAATGGATGAAGCTTTGTGGGATTTTCACGAGACTAAAGCTAAGCAATGATCTCAATAAGCGAGATTAAGAGATATAAGGCTCGAGTTCCTCATTATCCGACCATTCTGATAGTTCAATGATAGTATAACAGTATCAGAATATCAGATTCGTATATTCACCAACTAGGCTGGCAGGAAGATGAAAATCAACTTACGGGTGGGGTGAATCCGGGAAGAACTTGAGAGTGTGAGACAACGAAATCTCCGGTTGCCACAGGACAATTTGTCTCATCACAAAGATCATGTGTCTCGGAGTGGATATGCCATCCAAAGAATGAAACTTCAATCACCAACTTCCCACCCGATATTGCACGGCCTTTGTATGAATCAACACGGAATTAAAAAGAAAAAAAACATCACATAAGAATCAGATGCCTTTACATGGAACATATCTCTACTTGCCAAGTTCCAAAACAGCTTGACAAGTATACAATGATATCGCTCACCGATCAATCAAATAGACCTTCGTTATACAAACTCTAGAAACGATCATAGTATGAAACATCAAAGGCCTCGACCAAGCAAAGATCTTTGAGACAGAAACTCCACAAAAGGGCAGCATTCTTTGTGCAATTCATTTAGATGCCAGCCCAAATCTTTACAATGGAAAGAACACAATACACATTTTAGACTACCTGTGTTGGCGAAGATACTGAAGGTTGCTGGGGCGCCTCGGGCGATTGGATAAGGCGAAATGTCGACCCCTTTCACCTTCACATCATACTCTGAGTTGTTATCTGCAAAATCAACCCATCAAAATCCACACCTTTTTTTTTCAAAACACAAATGCCCATTTCAGCCACAACCGAGAATCAACAATCCAAGCTCTTAACTTTCCCAGAAAATGGAGTTTCACTTCCACACAGAATCAGCAAAAGCAATAACGACAACGCATAGGTTCATGATCTTCGTGTCTTAGAGCTGAATCAAATTAATACATTATCAGACACTGGAATAGCAGGAAAGACGTGATTTTTCTTCAACCCATCGAGTTACAGAACAGAATCTTGAGAATCAACATCATCTCCAGACAACAATTTCATCATATTATCAGAAGCTAACCTCGATCAAATACAATAAGAACATGCCCATCACGAATCAACAACAAAACCCATCAACAAATTTCCGGAGAATCTGACGAAACTTACCGCAGTAATAAACATCGGTGGCTCGGGCAATCGTTGAGATGACGAAAAGAGATAAAGCAAGAGACAAAATGGCGACCTTCGACATGATCGGCGGATTCTCGAAGCAAAAGCCGCAAAATCAGGTCGGAGTTGGAGATGATCGAGGAAGTTGTCGAACAGAGACAAATGCGAGCTTTCAACTCTGAATCTGGATTCTGAAGGAATGTCGGGCGATCTTGGCCGTTGTTTCCGGAAAGTCTTTGTTTAGATATTAACGGCTGAGATTTCGCATTGAATTCTTGTTCCGTGCGTTTGACCACATGTGATTCGACCCAATTATGAAAGATTGGTAAAACGAGCCGTTAGGTAGGTAGGTTGTTTTAGGAGTGTTTTTCTAGCTTTTTAGGTATAGGTTGGAATCAATTATTTATAATTCAATAATTAGATAAGAGATATTGGAAAAAATATAATTGATTATTTATAACTTTTTAAAATTAAATCAATGGAATTATTACATCAAAAAAATAGAATTCTAAATGAACCAAAACCGGATATAATTATTACAAATCGAAAAATATCCAAAACACTAAAATCCCAAGGGACAAGTCTATATTCCTAGAATCAAACTCTTGTATAAACTGTCAAAATTGTATATTACAGAATTAATTAATAAAAAATGTATCGAAATTTTAAAATTTTGCAATCAAATCCATTCTTAAAGATATTCTTTATTATATTCAATAATCATAAAGACAACGTTAGAAACTGTTTTTGGACAATTTCTTCAATGGATATTTTCTTTCGTATTTCAGAAACCTTCGGATAGGATCATAAGATAAAAGATTTGCGCTCTTTATTTCTCTTAATTCATCATTTGGGCCCATAATGATTCTCTTATTGTCTAGAACGTTGAGCCCAATAAAGTTTTATTATTTTTATTAGGAAAAATGTGATCTTTTCTTACACGAATTTTTAATTTGACAAAAAACTACACCAAGTTATCAAATGTGCCAAATTGATACACGAACTACCCAATTTAACTACAATTTTCTACACAATCTGAAAACGGTGTTAAGTATCCGTTAACCGCTGACGTGGCATGCCACGTAGCGGCTGGCATGGCATGCCACATAGAATTTTTTGCCACATAAACATGCTACGTCAGATTTTTAAAAAAATCCAAAAAAATATGAAAAAAATCGAAATTTAAAAAAAATTAAAAATAAAATAAATGAACAGCAAAAAAATATATATATATATATACATATATATATTCATATCTATATACAAATAAAAATATAAATATATATACAAAATAAAAAAACATACACATATATATACAAATAAATATATATACATATACATACAAACAAATATATTTATATATACACATATAAATACATATATATGTATATATACATACATACATACATACATACATACATACATACATACATACATACATACATAC